TAATAATAATAATAATAATAATAATAATAATAATAATAATAATAATAATAATGATAATAATAATAATAATAATAATAATAATAATAATAATAATAATAATAATAATAAATATAATAATAAAAATGAGAATTTTTTTTAGCACCTAATCTTTAGAAGCTCTAAGCGCTTTACATTTGACAACACTTAAGAGAATAAAAATCATATATATATATATATATATATATATATATATATATATATATATATATATATATATATATATATATATATATATATGTGTGTGTGTGTGTGTGTGTGTGTGTGTGTGTGTGTGTAATGATATGATTTCAAAAATAACTACATGATAAAAACCAGAACCACGAAATTAGAAACGTAAAAACACGCTGTGAATTTGTAAGGTAAAGATACGTAATAAGGATAGACCATTAGGTCTTAAAGGCTATTCTTGTATTTGAAAATGGTGAGTTTTTAGAGCTCTTTTGAATGAGATCACTGTGTCTTTGTGTCTAAGTGTTCCACACCGCTGGGCCCTCGTATGCAAAAGAAAAAGAACGCTGTCCATTTGATTTAATTTTTACAGTGGGAATTATGGGAGTACGAATGACAGAAGAGGAGAGTAAGTATGTTGCTGGTGTGTACACATGGATTAGGTCCGATGTGTATGTTGGACTGGAGCCCGTCAGTGAAACTTAGCACAGAGAACAAATTTTGTGTTAAATTCTGGATCTTATGGATAGCCAGTGTAAAGGGTAGAGAGTAGAGTAGAAGAAGCGTGCTATGATCGTGGTACATTAAGGATGATCCGAGAACTGTTTTGATCTTTTTGAAGTTTCTGGAGCAGATATTGAGAAGAACCAGACAGAATTGAGTCACAATATTATAGTCTTGAAAGTACTAAGGAACACGCATGTGTTTTAGTTGCATCAACTGAAATATACTTTCGAATTGAGCTGATGCATCTCAGCTCAGATATGCAGCCTTGCATATGTTAATGACATGTTGGTGCAATGAGAGAGTAATGTCAAGAGTAACACCGAGGCTTAGTACTGACTGTGAATATAATGTTGGTGTTGCTGATATTTATTGTTCGCAGTAAAGAATGTGAATGAGAAAGTCTTTGTGTTGTAATCAGAATGGCTTCTGTTGTCTCATCATTCACCTGCAGCTTGTTGCATGTCATCCATGATTTCACATGGACGTACCTAACGGTCGAAAATTATATCATTGTCATTGTCGTTAGTACACGATCAAATTTCACTTTCGGTTTGTTCTTAAAAATATCATTTTTTATCTAACGTATCAATCGTTTCCATGACTGCTCCATTAATTGCAGATTATAATCGTGTTTTGGAAATTACGTGTTGTTGTTAATCGATGTTTCATCCAATCTTCGTTCTCTGAACAAATTCGTTTAACTTGTATTCCTAGTCCGAAAAGTATTACCCGTTTCATAACTTCTACATCAGTTGATTTAATATGGTCATAGACATGCTTATCAGTGGGTTTTATATATTACCCTAGGATCAAAGGCTTTTGCGGAGGGGGACACAAGACGAGGAGTTTGGGGATATGTTTTTAAAAACACGCTAGTTATTCTTACCATCTCAGTCGTCGTCGTCGTAGCTGTACTATTCGCTGTCGAATTCGTTGACATGTTTTTCTTATCTTTAGCTTTTAAATCGGTCTCGTGGCTGATTTATCTTTCATATATTTTATGAATAAATTTGAAACATTTCTATTTTGTTCCTTCTATCAACACACCTGTATTGATCATGACAAAATGATTCTGCCAGAATTTAAACTAGATCAGTGGTCTGAAAAACTCTGACCGCCATACCATATTATGTGGCCTTCAAAATGATTGTGGTCACAAGGTGTCATGAGAGATAATAAAGGTGGTGCAGCCCTTGGATCATTGAAAATGTCCTCATGCGACTTTCAGGTTGGTTTGAGTTTGAGACCCCTGTACTAAATAGATATGATATATTAACTCATTAACCACTGTATTGGATATTTCACTCGCGCATGTGCACAAGTGTAATCGTTGAAAGGCTTTTTAATTTGTTTCGTATATTGGGCTCATCATTTTCGTGTTCTGGCCAGATTTTACTTGAAATTCCCAACTTATACTTTTTGCAAAGGTTGACCTGTCTTTCTGCAATTCAGACTAGTGTGCCTTAGAAATGATTCCAACAAGTCTAAAATCAGGACACAAAATCCGATTTTCTACGACCGGCGATATTTTGGTGTACAAAAATCATGTCTCAGAAAATACATTTTTTCTCTGTATTTTGTAATGCTATTAGAAAGTCCAGATTAGTTGGTATCCTTGTAAAGCTACGTATGTCTGCATTACTGCAATACCATCCATTTTGGTGTATCTTAAATGACATTGAGGCTACTGATCTTGGAAGAAGGGTTTTACCTCCCGACTCGCAAAAGTAGCGCCAGGAGTTAATGAATTAATGACCATACGCCTTGAATGCGCACGCGCGGTGTGTGTTTGTTTGTTTGTGTGTGTGTAATTTGGATTTTTATTGCAGCATTACCAATTTTTAAGTCAAATCGCTACGATGTGTGCAGTGTGGCAGTTTATACTGATGTCTAGCACTGGGGCATCGTGGCTCAGACATGTAGTATGACGTCCCACCCAGTCAGATTATCTTGACACCAGGCCGACCAGTCCTAACATTAACCTTTTAATACTAAACGTCTAGCGAGGCAGCTGTTAATACTACTTTTATAAGGCCACCGTAGTGAATGCGCCACAAATGCCAAGACTATTTTGTTATATTTAATATAGCAAGTCGCTGCATTAGTGTAATGTATCAGTGTGTTATCTTTAAAGATAAGTTATCCTTTATTGTTATGTAATGGTCCGTTGGTACCATTAAAAGATAACGTCATGGATCATATAAATTTTATTAAATATAAAGGATTTGTGTAGCTATGGTTTTATTACAATTTAACCAGCATACGTAGTAATTTTGGAACATATAGAACAATATAAGTTGGATGAAGAGTTCAACAGTAGACCAAAAGAACTATGATAGTGCCAGATTTTATTTTCAGACATTTGGCTTTGAAGCATGTGGCATTCATGATGTCATTCTGACAAGGGTCCTATATATTACACCGTAAAAGATTTACATGGTTAAAGGACACATGTTCCCTCCTAACAAAATTGCATGGTTGATCATTGTATGTGTCTGCTTGCTATGTACAAGTTGATATACTGGTCAGTGTGACTTAGTCAGGGATATTATAGACACTTTAGACGCCTTTGATCATTTGTATGAAATTAGCAGCCGTGCTTGTACATATATAATTGCACTTCAAGAATACCTTTATACCTTAAACGTTTGCATTTGTAAACATGGGAAAAATTTCTTCTTCTTAAGTTACGGTAAATCAAGCCTTCGTCTTGGAAAAGCTACAATACAAAGCTGTGAACATCTCCAGTAAAGACAACTTAAATTTGAAATTGAAATGGTCATAGGCCAGTGAAAGGTCATAATATCGAACTAAAACCATATGCACTACATTCATTAATAAAACTGTTGTGCCTGGTCAAAAGACGATCTCGCTACATGAAGGCAAATCTTAATCAACCTTTTTCGTTTAAAAATGTTTTCGTAAGGACAGTGTTATCCGTTGTCTAAGAAACGTTTCATGTAAAGCTTATAACAATCGTAAAGGAGAACCGTAGTAATTAAGTTGCAGAGATTAGTGATCCAAGTGTCGCGGGTTCGGAACCACTGCCAGTGTGTGTTCTTATCTCCTTGATATGATGAATAAAATGATGATTACATTTCTATTTTTCTGTACCTTATCTAAAAGTTTTAGTTAATTTGTATTGAATTTGTCCCGTATGTGATTCCCAACGTCGTCAATTTTTCTTTCATAAAGTGTGCTGGTAGTTATGGGTGATGCCCCTTCTAGTTTCCAGTTAGCCATATTTGTCATTCGAAACTGATGCATTCCCGAAGTCTAGGGTTTCCATTTCTAAATACCTATATGAGAATCCAGCCTTATAAAGTTTGTGCAGTCAGCTGTGTATTCTAAATTTTAAGTTTTTCTGTCATATTCGACAGAATATGTCATATGCCTTGTTTATCATCATTATTATTAATGTTATCACGTAAAGCTTCTATGGCTAAAACGTATAAGAACATAGCAACATATTATCTCTGTCTTTCTAATGGTTATGTCGTAGTATTTTTTGTTTATTACTAATGTTCTATGTGACGACATTTTGATACATAGCAGTTATTCATTGACACAGAAATATTTACAAACCCATATTTATGAATTTTGTTTCTATAAATGCGTGTTCTATTCGATCGAATGCTATTTCCAGATCGAATTGCAACATGGCTACTTTTATCTCGCCTACTTTGTATAAAATCATAAACTGTACTGACGGTCAAGGTGTTTTGCGATAAATTTGTTCTTTCTCACCACAGCTTTGATTTATGTTAACTATTGTCCCATACATGGTTTTACTATGCTTGATATTAGTTTCTTAATTATTTTACAATCTATGTTTAAAAGCATTTTTGGCGCCATTGTTAGTTTCTTTTTGCCCCTTATAAAATATATATTTTGTTCCTTCTTGCATGTCCGCTTCAATCGCCTAGTGGTTGGCAGTTTGTGGGTTCGAAGCCCGGCCAAGTCATACCAGAGACTTATAAATATGGTACAAGCAGTTGCCTCAATTGGTGCTCAGCATTAAGAGGTTATTGTTAGGTCAAATTGGTCTGGTGCCATGATAGCGTGACATTGTGAGACATTGTGAGACATAATGTTATATTTCTGAGGCATAATGTCCCAGTGCTTGAGATTTTCTCTCGTTATTTTCTTTTTTGCAGAACGCATAATGAGTTTAAATTCATCAAAGATCTAAAGAGTATAGAAGCAATAGCTTACTGTTGAATCCAGATTTATAACTGCGTATTCATAGTTTTATACACCACAATTATATTAAATTTGCTTTAGACTGCTCCGTTGGCCTAGTGGTTAAAGCATTCGCTTCGGATGCGGGAGGTCACGGGTTCGAAACCCTGTGGACTAATACCAAAGACTTTTAAAAATGGTAGTAACAGCTGCCTAGCTAAGTGCTCAACATTAAGAGGCCAGTGTGAAGACTGATCGGTCTGGTGTCATGATAATGCGACTGGGTATGACAAGACGCCACATGTCTGCGGCATAAAGCAATAGTTTTATCTTATGATAAAAAGTCGCACTGCACACCTTATGGCGATATGACCAAAATTGTTAAAGCTACACACACATAAGTTTTCTCCATTTCCGTCATTTAATGTTTAAAAAAATATGTGATGTATAGGTGCGTGGAATTTTTTATAGCTGTTAATTCTTGTTGTTCCGTCTGATCCCGGTGACTATTTTGTGATAAAACTGCCACACTGTACTCTTGCTTCTTCATTTATTTGCTTAAAATTTATACTGCTACAGTATTTATTTATTTCCTCTTGTTGTATGGTTTGTTTTGTGTACATATCGTCATAGTATTTTCTGATGCCTCTAATAATATCCACTTTCCGTGTATATATCTTCTTGTTTATCTTAATTTTTCTATGTTTATCTTTCCCTCAATTGATTTATGTCCTTTAATATGGCCCCTTTCCTTAGGTGAGTTAGTTACTGAATTTCTTGCCCTGACTTTTGCTCCTTGTATAAGATATATTTTCATTTTTTTCATTTGTTCTATAACCTCCATTTTTTCTTCCATACTTTCGGTATTATTATCTTGAGTCTATATCTCTGTTATATACACTCTCTGTTTGATTGTTAATTTTACTGTACTGTAAAATACTTTTTAAATTTCTTTTTGCAGTTCTTTTTAACGTATAACAATGATAGTATCTCAGTAAGTTAGGATACTCTTGTTTCATTAAGTCCACCAACCAACTATTATTTTTTTTACGTATTCATCGTCTTCTAAACACTAATTTGCTTAATTTACATTGTTTTTGAACCATCTTGTTTTATCATTTTTGCCGTAAATTTAACCTCAGTATGGTCTGATTTTTTTTTCTTTTAAACGTTTACATGAATGTATATATGTTTATCGCTTTTCCGAAATGTAAAAATTTATCAAAATTTTCCTACTTCACCACCTCTGTCCTTTACGTATATATATATATATATATATATATATATATATATATATATATATATATATATATATATATATATATATATATATATATATATATATATATAGTTCTGTATGCATCGATCAGGCTATTAATTTTCACAGAGGTATTTACAACTTTTTTAATTGCTGTTTCCACCCACGCGTATTTCGGTCTATTTCACTGGATTTTACTGCCTAAGCAGTTGAAGTCTTCTCCTATTATACCTTTTTCCATAGCGTATTCTGGTATGTACTCTGCTAATTCTAGTATATACTCGGCTTTCTTTGTGCTTTATCCTTTGAGTTCTTACACATTTAGGAGATGCCGCCAGTTAATCATTCTATACATTAATCTCCCTGAAAAGGCACTTTTTAGTTGCGTTATAATCAATATTAAAATCGTAGCTTATTTCCTTATATTTACTGATATTTACAATTGCAGAATTATTGTAAAGACAAGAGCTTCCATCTTTTCTGAAGTTAGTTGTATTATTTGTTTCTCTAAGTATTTCTTGCAATAAAATTATATCGATAATTGGATATCCTAACTATTTCATCTACGTTTACTTTCGTTCCATTTGTATTTAATATTACTATCTGAAGGTTTAGCCAACCCACCCACTCCTCTATGTTGCAATTAAATAATGTAGTATTAGATCTGCGTATTTCCGTACTGTTATTAATTTTTGTGTTCAGTCTAAGCTTTCCTGATGTTTTGATTTTTCGTTCGATATTCTTCTAAAGGTATTTTCATTGAGTCTCTACTGAATCTTGGTACTCATGGGCCCCTCACTCTAAATGCGATCTTTGTGGTTTTACCATTTTCTAGATGTCCGCTAGAAACACGGCAAAAGATAAGACAAACCATTGGGTCTCACGAAGACCTCCAGACCACAGTGAAAGAAAATATGTGGTGATATGGGCATGTTCCACGATCATCATGACTTGCGAAGACAATCCTGCAAGGCAATGTACAAAGAAAAAGAAAGAGAGACGGGCAGAGAAAGAGGTGGGAAGACAACATTCGAGAATGGACCTGCTTGACACTGAGCGACTCACTGAGAAAGACAGAAATCGTGAGGAATTGACTAAGCTGGTTATTCGATTTTGTGCGGTGCCCCAACTGTCTACCAGACAATGATGATGATGATGAGATGTCTTCTTTCAAGGCCATTTACTAGTGGTTTTGTTCCTTCATGTTCTGTTTTGAAAAAAACTTTATTCACCATGAGGGACGTTTCCTCCCCTAGTATCATCCAAAGCATCTATCTTCTATTTCTATCCTTTGATTTATATTTGCATTGTTTTGAGTGTTTATTTCTACTTCATTATTTCCGCCTTAGGAATTTGATTTTTCCTCTGCAGTTTCTTGCGTCTTTTCTAGATTATCTGAATTGATTCCGCTTTGAAAGTTTGATTCTGCCTTGCTGGTGTCATGCATTATTTATAGATTATATAAATCTTTGATCTATAGTTCCTGCTTTTACATATTTACCACTTCCGGAATTTACTTCTTCCTCAGTGGTTTGTTGTGGGTTTTTTTCTGGACTATCTTTGCTTTGATCAAATTATTTTCTTTCATCTTCTTCACTGCATTGAGATTATACTTCTTACTCGGTGAGCCTTGCCCCTTAGGTGCCTCTGTTGTGCTGGGAAGTGTTTCATCCTGGAAGTTCAGTTCTTCCAAGACATAGTCAGGCTCATTTTGATTTCTATAACGATTTTTCCACGGCATACTTTTCCTTAACGTTTTGTTTTCGTTTTCTTGTGTTCTTGGTGTATCTTATTTACAATATAAACTAGGTATTGATTCTTTATTCCTATTTGAGCGCTAGTTCCCAATTTTATATATATATATATATATATATATATATATATATATATATATATATATATATATATATATATATATATATATATATATATATTGTTGTGTTAGCTAATATTTCTGGATTTTCATTCTGATCTACGGTTGGATTATTTTTATCCCCCATCGCTTCCAAAATTTCCCTTAGTTATACATTGGTATGTATGTATGTATGTATGTATGTATGTATGTATGTATGTATGTATGTATGTATGTATGTATGTATGTATGTATGTATGTATGTATGTATGTATGTATGTATGTATGTATGTATTAATAAGCATTAATTGAACTAATTTAGTTACGCAACCTTAAACATGAAAATTTATAGATGGCTAAACAAAAAATGTGATGAAAACTAACGCACATAAACAATGGCTATTTTCTGATACGTTTTCTACTCCTTCAAGCACATAATCGCTGTCGAAGAAGATAAGCTTTTGTACATAATCGGTACATCCAATATGAGATGCAATGTATTTCCAGTAGTGTGTGAGTAAAAATGAGCACAAGTCACCCTACACTGACGTCTTTGTTATAGTTAGGATTTTAAACAATTTATCTTCCCGATTTTTCATCAGACAATGAATCTAGTAGTAGTACTGAGCAGATTCTCCATCATTTTATATGGAAATAACGTCTCGTTGTTGTGATTGTTGCATTCTTTGATATAAGAATACCTTATGACTTATTGGCTGCAAGCCACAATTAAGTTTTTTTAGTCCTCTTCATCTTGTCTTAGACTTGAGCTGAAACTAGCTTCCGCAATCTAGGTCGGTCTTGAGCAATGACTTGTGCCTCGCCCTAGGAAAGTCCCATCTCTTCCAGCTCGGTCATCACTGCCCTTCGCCAGGTTAACTTTAACCATCCTCATTTATGCTTACCTGCTGGTGCTCATTTGAGAGTTACCTTGGGTATCCGTTCTTTAGGAATCCTCAATACGTGTTTGAGTCATTTGATCGTGGGCATTTTGATCTCCAGGGAAAAGTTTTTACATTATGACTTTTAATGAAATTTTACATTGGAGATCTTATTTGACCAATATTTGTTCTAGACTTTGAAATGATTTTACTTTGCTGATGTCTGTCTTCGCTACTCTCAACCATTAGGAGCCATATAGCAGTACCGACAATACGTTGCTGTTGTAAAGTCTGATCTTTATCTTGATGCTATATTGTTCTGATTTCCATATATGGCATAGTCTGCTGAAAGCACATTTGGCTTTTTCTAGCATGTCAGTGATGCCCTATTTGGCATCGTTGTCGCTGCTATCTAGTTTACCCAGGTAGGTGACGTCCTCCACAAACTCAAGCATCTCTTCATCTATGGCAATTGGAGGATAAGCTAACTAAAAACTCTGTTCAATGATGTTGTGTTTAGCAAAAATCGGAACTATGCATATTCTTCCTTTGTGGAACCTTGCTTGGTCCTTGTCTAAGTTTGTCATCTATGGCTGTGTCGCAAGCCTTCGGAGAAATATTCGAGGGAAAAATGTTATCCCTCACAAGTTGTCACAGCTGCTGAGGTCATTTGTTTGGTAGCGTAAGAAGGAGGCCTTTATACCAGTCCTGTGGGATAACATCAGTTTTCCATATCGTTCTAAAGAGGTCAGTCAGCATATTTGCGGCTGTGGTTATATCAGCTTTCAGCACCTCAGTTTGCATTGAATCAGTCTCAGGTGCCTTACCGTTCTTCATGGCTTCAATGGCTACTGTGACTTCTCCTTGGGCAGTTGGGCTGACATCGCTGCCATTAATATCATCTGAGGGTGGCGGGTCTGCATGCTGATCAGGCTATGGCTGCTTTAGTACTTAGAAGTTCTGGACCAATCTCGCAGGCTGTTATTCCCTTGGGGTTGTTGTCACTCTTCCCTTTTATCTTCAATTGGCATGGGGTGGTTGGCTCCTTGTCCACAGAGTTATTTTCTATCTTGTATACCATGTTCAGTTCAACCTTTGCTGCTGCTTGTTCTGCCTCATTTACCAATTCCTTAATAATGTCCTGCTGGTCACTTCTTTTCACTTCTTTATCCTTCAGCATATATTTA